ATGAATTGAGAAACAAAAATCCTACCCTAAGGGTGGGAAAAAAGGGGTGAAAGTTCACTCACATATTTTGATGCCCAGTTGTATATTACAAAAATTATAGTCATAAAAAATTATAAAATAAAAACTTTTTACCAAACAATTAAAACCGCCGAAAAGTAGAAAAATCATAAACTTTTTTTGAATTTTAGACAAATTATATGTCTTTGAAATCATCGTGAATTTTTAATTAAGTACCTGTAAAAAAACAGTTGAATTCAAACAACGATGTAGGCTATTATATTAGATAAAAACTTTTTTTTTTGTTTTCATAAGTAGCTCCACGTTGAGTAATAAGAATGAGGAGGTCGTAAGAGACTTTATTTAATCAGATAAAAAATTAAGAGGAATTTCAATAATTACAGGTTAACGAACTCTAAAATTTATGTCTACTTTCCATAGACATGATCAAAATAGGCGTACAATATGGCGTTACAGCTGTTTAAACAAAAAAGAAATGTTTTTCGCTTATCCTGAAAAGTAATGGTTTGTCCCTTACGCCAAATGCAATTACGGTCGACGATATGTATATTGAAATCCGATTAGGACATACACACTTACGAGTATTTGTATTTTCATCATCATTATCATCATTAGCCTATTAATGTCCCCACTGCTGGGGCACAGGCCTTCCCTATGGATACAATAGGGAGATTGGGCCATGACCCACCACGCGGGCCCAGTGCGGATTGGTGGGTGCTAACAACTGCAGATGCAGCCGGGACCAACGGCTTAACGTACCTTCCGAAGCACGGAGGAGCTCGAGATAGTAAGTTTTGGTCACCCATCCAATGACCGACCACTGCGAAAGTTGCTTAATTTCAACGATCGCAGCCGAACGCGCTAACCACTTGCGCCATCGAGCTCCTCTTGTATTTTATCAAAACCGAATCCACATTTCAGTTTAGAGGTTACCTATTTGATTAAGGAAACTCTAGTTTAGCACTTACGGTTTTTCTATACTACTCGTAAAATTGTTAAAAACTGTCTCAGACGGATTGTTTTGAATAAAAAACAAACAATTCTTTGCGCTAACTCCGTAACGCACTCAAGCGCAGTCAGCTGTGCCAGTATATTGCACCAACGCAAAATTGCGCCATAGCGTTGCAAAATGGAACGCTTTAATCATTTAATATCTAGAATCTTAAATTGTAATCTGTATAAGAGCGCAGGGATCAACTGCTTTTGACCAGCTGTATTTTACTCATTTATCGGAAAATCGAAAAAAAAACACACTATGTAGAAACAGAGAGTGCTGGAATGGCGTCATTGGTATAGGCAGCGGCAAAGTTCTTGAGCAAAACCTGAAGATAAAATTAAGATATAAAGTTCACTGTTTGTTTCTGTATTAAGGCTGTAGAATAGTTAGATCTTGTTATATTTTTCTCATTCACTTTTCTTAATGTACACTACAGTACGATGAGGATCTTTGTGAGTTGTGTGTGACGGCTCGGGGGGGCGCCGCTGTCTGCGTAAACGACATATAAAAAATAATAATACATTTGTGTGGCGGTGGCGGCGATAGTTACGATTTTCGTTCGCATCGGTGAGGATCCTTGTCGGTCTGTAGAGGAAGTAAGTGCGACCATAGAAAAAATATTGTAAATATCACTTTTCGGCACTATAGGTCTTTACACATAACTGATGTATAATTATGTAATATACCTGTAAACGACTGTTTGCTGCCAATATAAAGAGAAAAATAAATACCACAGACAAATAAGGTTTTTGTATATATAATTGCTACGGTGCAGGCTTCTTTGTATATGGTTGTTGCTCAAGAAGTTTGCCGGAATGTATAGTAACCCCCACGGAACACAGAAAGAGGTTAGAAGGGTTGTCCCGTTTGCCCGGGAACAGATGTTGCCGGCTTACCCCCACTACACTTCCACCTGGTAGATAATAGCCAATCAAACGACGCGACATCAAACAACCGACCCAATCACCGCTCATATTCGATAGCAACGACGCAGTCGGAACCAAGTTCTGGTCAAGTTATGAGTATTTGCTCACATATAACTGTGGCGCACCTGCCCCGCCCGCAAGGCCCAAAATTCAAAAATTCAAAATTCAATATCGTTTATTCAGTCTAGGCTGTTACAAGCACTTGTGAATGTCGAAAAGCTACGCCATCGGTTCGCAAATCTACGGCGGGAGACCTTGTACTGAGAAGAACCGGCAAGAAACTCAGCAAGGGCTGTTTTTTTCTCCCTGTATTATATACAGAGTCGTCAAATTGAAAAATGACTTCAACATGAGATAACTCATGCAGTCACTTTCCATTACAAATGTAAATGGTAAAACAATTATGACTATAAAATAAAAAAATATAAAAAACAGATTAAAATAAAAGTTCAGGAATGCCGTGTCCCACTGTTTAGGCATAAAACAAATGTACGATTAAAATTAAATACAACGATTAATATTACCCAATGTAGCAAGAGCAGACTCATCTCCACTGGCAGCACCCGTTCACGAGCATGACGCATGAACCAGCCATCGCTTCGCCCAACCATTTTTTAGGGAACGTAACGACCCGCCTCACACGACATTCTAACCGTTATTTTTTTCAATTTATTTATTAATTAATTTGCATACATTAAAAACATCATTACAGCACAAAAACCTTAAAGATTTATCTGTGCTGCAGAGTCGCTCCACAACCAGTCACGCCAAACAGCCTGCCTGGTTTTCTAAATAATACTTTTTTAACATTTTAACAAAGGGTCTAAAAGATTTTATTTTAATTGGAATTATATTTTATTTTAATTTAATAATAATTAGATTTAATTTTGATAATATTTTTTTTTATTAATTTTACTATAATTTAATTTATTTATTTTATAATAAAATTTATTTACCTCTTTCTGTGTTCTGTGGTAACCCCTCTCATTGAACACTACCTGGAGGGAGGGAGGGCCTATCTACGGTGTTATATAACCATTCAAATCATTCTGGCAGTTTTTGCAGGGGCTGGGATGTGAACAAAAGTACTCATTCTACATACCTAAAACATATTTAGATAATAAAAATTATCATTACGAAACTCACACATTCGTATTTAATTTCGCACAAATTTAATTTTCGCGAGAACCTCTTTATCTTGTGCATTTACAGAAAATCATCAATATTAGTTCAGCTGTTGAGACAGGGAAATGTTTTGACGGACAAGTTTCGTTCGCATTTATAATATTAGTAGGGATTGAAACAGTGATAAACAGTGATATATCTAACGTGCAAACATCGAAAGGTATTTATTCCCATTAGTACTGTTAACCGAACTATTGGGAATTCTCTTCCCACTAATTCTGAGAAAAATTTTAAACAATTTTTTGAAAAACCACAGAACACTAGTTCTCCCATTAGTTATGGGAAATTAGCGTGCCACTAGTTCTGTGGTTTTTTTGGTTCTCCGGTTAACAGAACTAATGGGAATAAAGGTTTTAATCTCGGATGCAATGTCACTGAATAAAGATACCACCAATATTAGTAACTTCGATAAATTTATCGTCAATGTTGGCCTGTGAACTCGATCGAGACGGGAGACGGATCAACACTCACAATATACTTAATGAGCGTTAATCAATTTTAAACATGGTAATTATTTCGCAGTATCATATTATGCTAAGTTTAAAATTTAATTAAGTATATATTACATCGGACATAAAGAAATAATACCTTAAGTTCATAGCACGAAAGCCTAAAATCGATTCATACTTATAATCTATATATATAAAACTCAAAGGTGCCTGACTGACATAGTGATCTATCAACGCACAGCCCAAACCACTGGACGGATCGGGCTGAAATTTGACATGCAGGTAGATGTTATGACGTAGGCATCCGCTAAGAAAGGATTTTGATCAATTCTACCCCCAAGGGGATAAAATAGGGAATGAAAGTTTGTATTAAACTTTGTCAATTTTAAACCGATCGGGCTGAGACTTTGCATGCACGTATAAGAAGAATGTCATTGTGTATAATACAAGCCTGAGAACAAAAACTGTAGTCTACACTTCAGCTCTACACCGAAGCAAAGCGGGGGCGGACCGCTAGTATTAAATATAAGAAGGAAAACCTTTCGTTCCATTTCATTAGCGCACTGCGATTTACGGTGAATATGAGATAAAGGGTCGATATCGCGAGTCAAATTCAAAAGACAGTCAAATGGCTTTTTAAAACTTTTTTTTGAACCTATTGGAGCTAGGGGAACAATTCCCTTAATGGTACAACACTTTTGCGTAACTTGCCGTTTCTCCTCAGTAAAAGGTCTTCCGCCGTAAATTTGCCAGCGGCCTATTCGCTAACTTTTAACATTGAAAATGTATTTTCGTTCGCTCCTGTAGGCCCTTCATTTTCGCTGAAACTGCGACTCGCCCGTCATACCCCGAGCTTTAGAGCCACGAGGACGTATGGAGCTCAAAAGACGCGGAATTTCAAGGGCTTTAAGAAGATGTAAAAAATATTATGGAAATGACAAAAGATTTTTTTAAACGAAAAAAAGGCATTTTTCGTCTGAAAAATTTTCGATATCTCGAGAACGTATTCTGGGTCAGTCGGCGTATTCGCTTACTTTTTTGACATTTACAGTGTATCATTATCATCATCATCATCAGCCTATTAATGTCCCCACTGCTGGGGCACAGGCCTTCCCTACAGGTAGAATAGGGAGTTCGGGCCGTGACCCACCACGCGGTACCAGTGCGGATTGGTGGGTGCTAACGAGTGCAGATGCTGAGGCGAGACCAACGGCTTAACGTGCCTTCCGAAGCACGGAAAGCCGTTGGTCTCTCTCTCGATAGTAAATTTTTGGTCACCCATCCAATGAGCGACCACTGCGAAAGTTGCTTAACTTCAACGATCGCAGCCGAACGCGCTAATCACTTGCGTCATCGAGCTCCTCGTACTCTTACAGGTGTAACTAAAGAGAAAATTGCATATCCATTTCTGGTTTCCATGGTCAGGCGAGGTGCGGCAGGCGCTGGCGATGATGCAGCAGTGGACTCCCATGGACGTGGAGGATGCCCTAGAACTGCTCACGCCTAAGTTCACACACCCGGCTGTTAGGAAGTAAGCAAGTTAATTTTTTACAACTTGACTTCAATTTTAACCTATTGCCCTCGACATCTTCTGCATGGAAAAGTTGGTTTCCCATACCTAAATAACACCTTCATTTTCACCCCCTTAAAGGGTGAATTCTAGGATAAGAATCTGTGTCCTTTCTCAGGACTCAAACTATCTCTTTACCGAATTTCATCTCAATCAGTTCAGCAGTTTAAGAAGAGGTAACAGACAGGCAGACATAGGTACTTTTGCATTTATAATATTTGTATGTATTTGCATACACTAATCACTGGGTTTTTTTTTTATTGGAAAGAATTCAAAAGTTGTATTCACATGGGGTCTCCAACGCATTACTAAATTTTTGTTTGAAATCGAATTCGCCAAAGTAACGAACTGCGAAATCGAAATCGCCAAAGAAGCGAAAGTGAACTGCGAAAAGAGCGAGCCGCGTTTTGATTGGACACGTCAGTATGTCATTGGTCTAAACGATGTATTGCGATTGGTCAACATTTTGGGGCGTGTCACCATCTTATGCAGTATTAGGTACTACATAAGCTTAGCACAAGCAGGTGCCTTTGTATGCGGTTTTCTAGCGGGGGTCCTCTGTAGTTAAATTCTACGAACGCTTTGATCGTTTGTCAATTCAAACCCATCACTTTAACACGAGATTTAAGAACAAGCTTGCCGTTCCATGTTTCGGACTTCGAAAATCAAGAGGTTCATTTCTGAGTTGTATTACATTGTATAATAAAGTTCCCCTAGATCTGATTGAGCTTCCACTGACCAAATTTAAATCTCAGATCAAGAATACTCTTATGAATAAGGGCTATTATAAAGTTGATGATTATCTAAATGATAGTAATGCATGGACATAGTGTTTCTTGTAGTTTGTTATTTGATGGGTATTAGTCATTTTTCATAACAGTAATATGGTACCTATTTAATGCCGCTTCAATTTATTGTAACTATATATCTTTATTCTAAATGATGTCAAGGAAGGTGACTTCAGAAGTCTCACTGAAGTCATTTTTCAACTTGACGACTCTGTATATAACAACACAGGGAGATAAAAACAGCCCTTGCTGAGTTTCTTGCCGGTTCTTCTCACTTTCAAGGTCTGCCGACGTAGTTTAGCGAACCGATGAGGTAGCTTCTTGTCTTGACCTTCACAGGTGCTTGTAAGAGCCTAGACTGAATAAATGATTTTTGATTTGATTTGGTTTGATTTGAAGTGTACTAGTTTAATTAGGTTTTATTTTTATTTGATGTAAGGTACGCGATATCTCGGTTGAAGCAAGCTCCGGATGATGACTTGCTCCTGTATCTACTGCAGCTGGTGCAAGCGCTCAAATACGAAGACTTCACGGAGATACATGAGGGTATGTTGGATGCTTTTGTTTCGTTCCTTTTATATAGTTTTCTCATACACGCTTGGAAATGTTGTACTTTGAACACCTTCTTCAAGATGTAAGTTATTTACGGGATTGTTACCATGTACCTTGTTTTTAGCGAGTCGCGATCCGATACTGTAAGTGTTGTGTGTCGAGAACAGTTTCGAGTGAATAGTGAGAATGTGATATGTGGTACAGGTATCGAACGCAATAAAGGACTTCGTCGGAGGGTAGACTGATATGTCTGCCAATAACAGCCTACCCGCAATTACTTCAGTTACTCCGTGATCATGGCGCTTGCAACAGTGCCGAAATATCGGAAACTCGCTAAAAACAAGGTACATGGTAACAATCCCGTAAGTAACTTATATTACTATAATGTTAGTGACCATGAATGTTTAAAACAATATATTCTTCAAGATGAATTGAAATTCCTGCATTGGCCATATATATGAGAGCAGCGGCAGGCAAAAGTTGTATGGAAATACATATCTGTCGTGTTTAGCGGCTAAATAAATGACATAGTAAACTCATATCTGCCTCGAAAGTAAATAAGATACAGAACCCCTTAACTATCTATATTTAGGTATTGTGTTACTCATGGAGTAACACCAGTTAATCTGTGTACTTAACACATACAGTTTCATAAAAGTGAATGTGCAAATATCGTCCCTACAGCCTTAGTAATAAGGCGAATAGTCACCTGCAAGAATATCCCACCTTATACTTTATTCTACAAAAAATGTTTTAAAGTGAATGCGGAAATATCGTCCCTATAGGTAGGTAGTTTGTGTAATTTAAAACATGGCAACCAAGGAGGTAACTTATCAAATATTTTATTTAAATTTCTTACTGGCATGCAAATAGAAAGCTGTTTATTGAAAAATAAAACAAATAAATACTTTACGCGGAAAAAACATATTCTTGTTCTTTGTTTGTCATTGATTTTGAAAAGTAATGTATTTAGTTTAAACGTCCGCGCATTATTTGCGAAAAGCACTTCCTATACAAGCCTTGGCCATAAATGGGCATTGATGGACTTACTTACGTATCACTACTGTACCCTTAATAGGAGTTTAGATAGTTTTCGAAAACTATTATCGTCTCGTTTTGTTTCCATACATTTCACACCAGCGCCTCTAGCGGAAACTGTAATGAACTTTCATCGGCAGTATAAGTTAATTTCGTTAATAGTTAGACATCCATATTACACAGGAGTTTGTCCTTTTTTCTCGTTCAAACGTGCAAGAGAGATGAATTCATGCACCGTGAAGTTCGTACTATCGAGTTAACGATGGACGATATCGTTTAAACGATGCTCGAAAAAATTAACCTGTACCAGCAAATTTAATGTACATTTTGATAAAAGAAACTGTTTATCAAAATTGTAATTACTTTTCGTTTTATCTACATAATTGTACTACCATTGATGAGGTAAACTGACAGTTTGTAAGAGGTTACAAAAACTATCATAGTTCTCGTAATTGTAAAACTCGTACTTAGGTAAATGGTTTGTTGTAGAATACGCACGAGTTTGCGGCAAAGAAGCTCCGTCGTGGCCGGAAGACGCTCGCGGATCTCGCGGCAGCCACGCCAGTCTACTGTCTGCTTCAGGTAAATATAAACATAGATCAATTAACTTAAATAAAACACACTCTAAAGAAAATTTTACTAGAAAAAATTCAACACGCACCAGTCAGCAGACGGGACTCCACTACTTAATTTACTTTGAAGTTTCTAGCCAACGATATTTAATACCCTATATACGAAATCACGAAAAAATCGTGGCTGGAACCTGTCCAAAAGGTACATTGGACGATCCACGGAGCTCCATAAGATGATCGCGTGGTCAAGAACAATATAAGGCATTATTTAAACATTAAATAAATAAATATTTTTCACCATGAAACCCGGCGTACAAACCACTCTACCACAGAGGTCGTCAAGTCACATTGAAAGTCACCTGTAATGCATACTTTATAAGGTCTTAATTAAAATGCATGCATCAAAGAGGTGTGATAGTTCGAAATGCCAGATCGTTAAATCGTTTCATAAAATTTACGACCTGTTGCTATAGGCGGAAGAATATAGAATATATTTGTATGAGTCTATATCGTAATAGGGATGATAACTAATTTTTTTTCTTCCTTTATCAGGTAGATTATCAAAAAGTATTGGACACGTATTTTTTCTTTTTTCACATAATATAAACATTGCAGAGATATATTGATTTGAAAAGTCGCATGACGTCACGTTTTGGTACAATTTTCACTTAAAAGTGACGTCACGAGCCCCTACTCCCAAACTTTGATGCGCTATAACTTTGTCATTTTTTGGTTGATTGAAAAATTGAAAGAAAAAATTCTTGTCCATTATTTTTTGATCATCTAACTGACCGACTAAATACAATTTCGTTTACTGTACCCCGTCATCACCCCTACTCTGAATGCGCTGTTAGCAATATAGCAGGTACGGACCGCGAGGAAAAGAGACGGCTATACAAACGACCATGCATTTGAATATCACAAATATTTTATATCAAATCAGTTTATAGTAAGTATTAGAACAAAATTTGTTTCAAATGCGGTGAATCAATAAATATTGAGCTGTATTTTTATTTTATAAGAATTTAACTACTATATAAATGTTAAAATCTAAAGAAAAGTTTAATAGAAAAAATTCGGACCAGGCAGCAGACGGGACTCGTACTCGCACCCTTCGCTATCCGGGCGAATGCACTGACCATTATGCTACCGCGACCCTGACGGCCGTGTCGAATTTTTTCTTTAAATCGCAAACTTCACCTCTTTATAATAGACTCCCGGACTCTTGAATCGAGCCACCTTACATTCCCGGGCTTAAAAGTCCAATACACAAAAAATATATAATATAACAAAAAAGGTTTTTATGCATTTTTAATGCTGGCATATTTCATCGTCTTTCCCGTATGTATTATTACAAATTTGAATTTTAGAATTTAAAATAAAGAACAAAAGCCAAGCTTGGTCATGCTGAATCGCAAACCATGCAGGAGCTCAAAAATGTAATTTTGGAAGAATGGGAGGACATTCTTCAACATGTCATAACGACATTGATTAATTCTATGCCAAACCGTATGAGAGCTGTCATAAATGCACTGGGAGGCAATACAAGTTACTAAATAAACATTTCTTTTCATGTAAAACATGTCTTTATTTAAAAATCGATTAAGTTTTTTTCCTTGAAAAAAGCAAATATGGACTTGTTACAACGTAACTCGACTTTTTTAATAAACTGTAGTTCAAATTTAGAACAGTGGCACTCTAAATGAATGATGAGTATATCAGCTCCAAAACTGCATCAAAACATTTTCCTTCTACATACATCTTTCATAAGTTACAGTCATCATCATCATCATCAGCCTATTAATGTCCCCACTGCTGGGGCACAGGCCTTCCCTATGGATGGAATAGGGAGATAGGGCCATGACCCGCCACGCGGGCCCAGTGCGGATTGGCGGGTGCTAACGACTGCAGATGCAGCCGGGACCAACGGCTTAACGTGCCTTCAGAAGCACGGAGGAACTCGAGATAGAAGTTTTCGGTCACCCATCCAATGACCGACCACTGCGAAAGTTGCTTAACTTCAACCATCGCAGCCGAACGCGCTAACCACCTGCGCCATCGAGCTCCAAGTTACAGTACTCCAAACTAAAAAAAATCAAGGTGGCTCGATTTAGGTGTCCGGGAGTGTATTAGCATGGATTGTGTTTGTGAATTTTGCTCCATTTTCGATATTCCCATGTATTATCGTTATAGCCGTGCTGGCCACCAGCGATATGACCGGCTCGATATCAAGCCGTCGGTCAATGGACGCGCGCGCCGACGAATCCGTCGCCGCTACGGAAGAGAACACAACAGACTTACACGACAGCGACAATGGAAACGAGTTCAGGTATTTATCTCTACGGGTTCTTTCTAGGCTCACTAAAACATAGTTGAGCGAAGCTTAAAATATTTTGTTTTGTTATAAAATATGAAACATTCACTCCTGTTATCTCTATACAATTAGCATCAAATAAAATACGCATATACGCACACTTCTGTATATAAACATGCAATCGAGCGGGCGAGACAGAACTGTACCCCTAGCACGAACCATTATCGAATTCGAATAGTTTGCAAACCGAAATGTCAATGTCAAATTTTGTATGGAAACTTGAACAGCAGCGGCACAAAGTATGTAACGAGAACTAAAAATCAGTACAGAGTTGACAATGACATTTCGGACTCGCAAACGTTACGAATTCGATTTTCGTTCGTGCTAAGGGTACAGTACCCCTAGCACGAACCATTATCGAATTCGTATAGTTTGCGAGTGCTAAATGTCAATGTCAAATTTTGTATGGAAACTTGAACAGCAGCGCCACAAAGTACGTAACGAGAACTAAAAATCAGTACACATTTGACAATGACATTTCGGACTCGCAAACGTTACGAATTCGATATTGGTTCTTGCTAAGGGTACTGTACTCTTCAACGCAGCGCGAGCGAAACGGCCAGTCCGCGACCGAGTCCGTACGGCTCAGCTGTATTGTCCTTTTATTGATAACAAAATGACGATTACGAAAATTACATTCACGACAAACCGTGATTTTTGAGAAAAAAATGTTTTTACAGTTTTACGAATGAAAAGTGTTGCCGAGGCATTTGTTTTTGATTTTTAACTATTTGTGTTCTTTATAAAATCATCGAAGGCATTGTTTTATCTTTATAACACAGTATATACGCAATAATAAATAATAATAATAAATATTTCCGACACTCACACCAATTAGCCTAGCCCCAAAGTAAGCACTATTAGGCTTGTGTTATGGGATGCTAGGGTAACGGATAGAATACATATACCGTACATATATCAGTATATTTATTTAAATACATATTAAACATCCATTACTGGAGTACAAATGCTCGTATTCATCACACAAACATCTGCCCCCACCAGGATTCGAACCCGGGACCTCTCGAGTCAGCGACACCATGAAACCCAGCGTACAAACCACTCGGCCACGGAGGTCGTCAAATAATATTGTTATATTAGCATTAAATTCGAGTCATTAATTTAAGTATATTATTTTAAATCATATCATTAATTCTCTACTGAAAAAATAATAATATATGAGTTTATTGAATACTAAAGTGTAGTACGAAAGTAATGACCGGCGCAGTGGGACCTTGTTAACTGTAAGACAGGTTTCACAACCTAGTGCAGACACCAGTCTCGGGAAAGGTTAAATTATTTCCTAATTATACTTTGTACTTTATTATATAAGACTCTGTAGCCCTTCTTAAGAGAAATAAATAGAATATTATTATTATTGAGTGCACATGCAGCGTGTTTGAATGCCCAATTGTGACTAAAGTGAATTGTGGTCATGCACCACAATTTAAGCGGATAAAGCGGAAGCGCTTTTGAGCCGCGAGTGGCATATCTTCCCTTTTGGTTTTAATCTAAGGCTGAGACGCATTGGGAAATACCGTTAGATAGAGACAACAGAAAATAACACAAAAAAAAATACATATAAAAATTGCAAAATTTGAGGTTTGGCTCTCGACAATTTCCTGCTCGAAAATTAGATATAATATTATAAAAAAAATTACCCATCGAATAATAAGTAGTTTTACTATGCCTCTATATTATCTTTCTGTCAATGCTTTTTAAATGTCCACGTTTGTTTATTTTTGGTATTTTGCGGTCTTCTAGTTTCTTTGGAACACAAGTGTTTAATACTTGTAAAGGTATTCATTTCAGAAAATTCTACACGAACAATCAGGGCCGCGGTAGCATAATGGTCAGTGACACTGCCCTGATAGCGGAGGCTGCAGGTTCAAGTCCCGACTGCTACCTAGTCCACGTGGAACTTTCTCTAGTAAAATCTTGTTTAGATTTAAATTAAATTTTTTCCTTCCGTTATTCCCAGCACATCCGAAGACATCTCCGAACGTTTATCCCTAGCTTCGTTCCTCATAGAGCGCGCGTGCGGCAACAGCGTGGTAGGCAACTACTTATACTGGTACTTGCTGGTGGAATGCGAGGATGCGCCCGCGCACGACGCCAGGCATATGTACCTGAGGGTCATGAGGACGTATTCCACGAGGTTGGCGCAAGGTAAAATGAAAAAACGTCTTAATTAATTGGCTTAATTAATTGGCTCGATGGCGCAGGTGGTTAGCGCGTTCGGCTGCGATCGTTGAAGTTGAGCAACTTTCGCAGTGGTCGGTCATTGGATGGGTGACCAAAAATTTACTATCTCGAGCTCCTCCGTGCTTCGGAAGGCACGTTAAGCCGTTGGTCCCGGCTGCATTTGCAGTCGTTAGCACCCACCAATCCGCACTGGGCCCGCGTGGTGGGTCATGGCCCAATCTCCCTATTCCATCCATAGGGAAGGCCTGTGCCCCAGCAGTGGGGACATTAATAGGCTGATGATGAATTGGCTTCCTATTGTGTATTTTTTTTACACACTATAATAGGGTATTTGACAGTATCAAAAATAAAGTGCCAATTGTAAGCATCTGTGTTTAGAATGAATATTGGCAGGGATTTTTACTATTTTTACAAAAAAAATATATATTCATAATTTTACTAAAAACCCAAGATAAAGATAGAATAGTTTTCTTGTCTTTAGTCACGTGACCCAAAACGCTTGGGATTGGCCGAGCCTAAAATGACGTCACACGCAAGTAAACTTCCGGTTAATGTGACATTGCATTGTATCGTTTGACGTTTTAATAACAGTCGTGTGACGACACTAGTAAGAGGCCATATTGTCCAGAAAAACGTTTTCGCGGCAACTTCAAATTGGAGTTTTTGATTTGGTTATTTTTACTGAAATACACAACAGAATGGTGAATATCCACTTTTTACGGACTCCATAAACATTAGTCAATAACTTGAGATCGTTTTCTAAAACTAGTCAAATACCCTATTAGTGTGTTTAAAAAAAACACTCCTTCCCTTGCTTATAATTAATTGACTGCCTTCACGTGTACCCAATTTTATTAAAAACCGTACACTAAAGTTAAACCTGAAGGCCTAGTCTAATACATCGAAAAACTAAATTTCGATCGCAACGCACTTTTTCTTCTATGTTTCTGGTTCGTTTTTTATAATTTAAGTTTTTAATAATAATATTCGTCGTCGAAATATAGATTGATTCTCAAAGAAAGCTTCAATTTGATAGTTTATCGTTCAAATTAAGTATAACCTTAAATTAACGAAATTAATTTTCGTTTGAACTTCGTCATCAAAAGTTCATTTCAGAGAAAGAGAGTAGAGTACCTGAACTTAAACTGATGCTGTCACTTTTATTTGCTAAAGAAAAAACAGAGAGAGTATTAGATTTAAACCAAGACTAACTTTAGTCCGCGCTTTGGTATAAGGCGGTATGACTTTTGCAAGTACATAATGGGATACTTGCTTCTTTATAATTTTTTATGCAATAATTTTTGGACATGAACAAAAAGACGCTCAGGGCATCGTTTATTCAAAAGAAAAACTAGGTCAAGGAATCGGTTGTTGTACAAGGGAAAATCGTCTTAATGATTATCCAGCCATGATTTCATACGCTTTATTTGTCTGAAAATTTAACATAATAGGGTATTTGACAAGTTTTAGAAAACGATCTCACGTTATTTACTAATGTTTATAGAGTCCATAAAAAGTGGATATTCATCATTATGTTGTGTTTTTCGATAAAATAAACTAAAATCAAACTCTATTTTCAAGTTGCCGCGAAAAAAGTATCTCTGGACAATATGGCGTCTCACTGGTGTGTGACGTCACACGACTGTCATTAAAACATCAAACCATACAATCTAATGTCACTTTAACCGGAAGTTTACTTGCGTGTGACGTCATTTTAGGCTCCACCAATCCCAAGCGTTTTGGGTCACGTGACTAAAGACAAGAAAACTATTATCTTTATCTTGGGTTTTTAGTAAAATTATGATATTTTTTCCGAAAAAATAGTAAAAACTCCTTCCAATATTCATTCTTAATACAGATGCTAACAATTGGCACTTTATTTTTAATACTGTCAAATACCCTATTGCAATGAAAATGTCTAAATTCTAATCACATTTCAAAGAAACTATTAAATCGCGTTGAATACCTAGATCTTTACAATCTAAAATCGTTTTTATCTGTCTTTAAATACTATAAATGCAATTCAGTACTTTTAAGTAACTTTCGCAGTGGTCGGTCATTGGATGGGTGACCAAAAATTTAAAAACTATCTATCACTATTCTGTGCTTCGAAAGGCACGTTAAGCCGCTGGCTCCGGCTGCATCTGCAGTCGTTAGCACCCACCAATCCGCACTGGGCCCGCGTGGTGGGTCATGGCCCAATCTCCCTATTCCATCCATAGGTAGGGGCTTCACCCCAGCAGTAGTGACATTAATAGGCTAATGATGATAATGAATTTCATCAATATCCCTTCAGGTAACGCAGAACTCCAACGCACCCGTTCGTTCCTCGCCCGCCAGCAGGTATTCATAGACAAACTAGTTAAACTAGTCAAAACAGTGACCAGAGAGAGCGGCAACCGGAACAAGAAAGCAGAACGTCTGCAACAATTACTCGCCGATCCGGACGCGTTCAAATTCAACTTCACCAACTTCGAGCCTATGCCATTCCCACTAGATCCGAGCGTTACCATCAAAGGCATAGTCGCTAAAAAAGCCAGCCTATTCAAATCAGCCTTGATGCCTTCAAAGCTAACATTCTTAACCACAGAAGGTGTAGAATACGAGGCGATATTCAAACACGGTGATGATTTGCGACAAGACCAACTCATACTGCAAATGATTACTCTGATGGACAAACTGCTGCGAAGAGAGAACTTGGATTTGAAACTGACCCCTTACAAAGTCCTAGCTACCAGTTCTAAACACGGTTTCCTGCAGTTCGTTGAGTCTGTGACCGTTGCTGAAGCTTTGGCTACCGAAGGCAGTATACAGAACTTCTTCAGGAAGCATAATCCTTGCGAAGGCGCCCCCTACGGGATAAAACCTGAAACTATGGACACTTATATAAGAAGCTGCGCTGGGTACTGCGTGATCACGTATTTGCTTGGTGAGTTTGCTGTCATCTCTTATCTATTAGACAAGTCCGTCCGTCCGTCCGTCTGTGGTGCTGTTTCAGCGGCCAAACCGTAAGAGATAGATAAAGAGAATGTTTAAGTTATAAGTTAAGAATAGTCTGATAAGACTACAAACCGGATTTGAGTAACGTAGTACTTCCGGTTTTCGAGAAATCACGTGATTTCTATTTCAAACGAAACCACACAAAATCTCCGAATTTCTCAATTGATTAAATACATTTTTTTTTTAAAATCAGGTTTTGGTGAACATTTGGTTCACTGGTTCGCTAGTTATTTTTTAATATAACTATTGGCGTCTGGTTGTGGCACCAAAACTCTTTTGATGTTATTATGTATTCTTTAAAACCCTTTTCACTCTTCTACGTCACCTCTTATTTTATTTTTATTTATTTAGGATAACTAACAATTGTGGAATATTGTACGTAATGTAGTAACACTAATAAATATATTGATGTCATTACACAACCAACACCGTTATCCACTTAAAATATATCACAACACAAGAGATTATATTTTTATAAAACATGATAAGTTTGCAATATTTAAAAAAAAATACAAAACACAATTTTTTAATGTTTGGTAAACAATCAGTAATTGCCTTTTTATATGGAATAAAAGACATTGTAAACAAATCCAAATCAAAATCAGATAGGTTGTCATTAAAAGGCACTCGATGGCGCAAGTGGTTAGCGCGTTCGGCTGCGATCGTTGAAATTTAGCAACTTTCGCAGTGGTCAGTCATTGGATGGGTGACCAAAACTTGCTATCTCTCGCTCCTCCGTGCTTCTGAAGGCACGTTAACCCGTTGGTCCCGGCTGCATCTGCAGTCGTTAGCACCCACCAATCCGCACTGGGCCCGCGTGGTGGGTCATGGCCCGATCTCCCTATTCCATCCATAGGGAAGGCCTGTGCCCCAGCAGTGGGGACATTAATAGGCCGATGATGATGATGATGTCATTAAAAAAGTTCATTATTCGATGTAAGGGTGCGCGTTCACCTGCATTCGTTCTGCACTGTTTGGGGAAAAATAGTTTATGAGCGTAGGTATCTCTTATACGCTTTGAACTACTGGGAATTCGAATATAAATCTGTTTTATGAGGTCATTGCAGTCAAAATCATTACGACAGATTTTGAATAGGTATTTTTTTTTTCCTTACCACTTGATTGGAGATATTTCTTAGCTGCGGAGGAAAACGAGCGAAAAATACTCCACAACACTAAAAGTATAATGTAACAACATTTACAAATCATTACGTTGTTACAACGTCAATACAATATTTGACAGATACGTGCCGTTTCCCTACAGTAGTTCCATTTTAACTTAGTATAGTCCACCGCTCCATAACACTTGGTCCTTCGAGCCGGATGTAAACCGATGTCCGAGCGGCACTAACAGCATTATTTGATAGAGCTCTCGCAGCCATCGTGTCCTTCGATCCGGCTCGAAGGACCAGTAGCTACGAAACTCTTTTTATGTTATTATGTATTTTTTTAAACCTTTATACTTTTCTACGCCACCTCTCGACATTATTGTTTAATAGACTTCCCTATTGTCACTACTACTGCTTGTATCGTATTTCACGGCTACGTTCCGTTTCCCTATAGTAATTCCATTTTAGCTTAGTAAAGTCCACCGCTCCACAACATTTTGGTCCTTCGAGCCTGATCTGAAGCAATGTCCGGGCGGCATTCTCAGCATTATTGACAGAGATTCTCTCACAATCATCGTGTCCTTCGATCCGGCTCGAAGGACCAACATGTTAAGGAGCGGTGGACTGTACCAAACTAAAACGGGATTAATGTAGAGAAACGACACGTAGAATAAGTAATAATTTCCTGTAATTATGGGTTACCTACAATGCGAAGAGATGGCGCTGCCTTGCAGCTTAAGAAAGGCTAGAAAGAATTCGACACGGTCATCAGGGTCGCGGTAGCATAATTGGTCAGTGCATTCGCCCGGATAGCGAAGGGTGCGGGTTCGAGTCCCGTCTGCTGCCCAGTCCGCGTGGAATTTTTTCTAGTAATATTTTCTTTAGATTTAAACATCGAGCAGTTTACATGCTTAAAAAATAAAAATCTCTTATCTATTAGACAAGTCCGTCCGTCCGTCTGTGGTGCTGTTTCAGCGGCCAAACCGTAAGAGATAGATAAAGAGAATATTTAAGTTATAAGTTAAGAATAGTCTGATAAGACTACAAACCGGATTTGAGTAACGTAGCACTTCCGGTTTTCGAGAAATCACGAATTTCAAACGAAACCGCACAAAATCTCCGAAGTTCTCAATTAATTAAATACATTTTTTTTAAATCAGGTTTTGGTGAACATTTGGTTCACTGGTTTGCTAGTTATAACAATAACTTTCTGTTCACAATACATACGTTCGTATGTAATAGTACTGACAAGCCCATAGCAAACCTGGGCTATTTAATATCGTTGGCTGTGTCAGACAGGTTTATAATGTATGCGTGTCCTCTAACAGGCGTTGGCGACCGCCACTTAGACAACCTCCTCCTGACTCGTTCCGGGGCCCTCTTCCACATCGACTTCGGCTACATCCTGGGCCGAGACCCCAAGCCCCTGCCCCCTCCCATGAAGCTCAGCAAGGAGATGGTCGAAGCCATGGGTGGGGTCCATTCTGAGCACTACCATGAGTTCCGCAAGCAGTGCTATACCGCCTTCCTGCACCTCAGGAGGTAAGTAATCATCATATTATTGACCCCAAGCCGCTGCCCTTTTTTAAAGGGACATGTTTTTTTGGAGTTTACTCCTTAAGAATCGATTTGCATATATAAGGAGACCGACCGGTATGAGAAAAATGTGAGGAGTTAAATCTATCGATGAATGACCTCGTTACGTTTTTGATGCGCATCCTGTTCGAGCCAAAATGACTCTTAAATCCGAGAGCTTAGGTGCAAAAAAGTTAAATTGAAACTACAGCGTATTTTGTTAGACTACATTTCTTTATTAGTTAGGTGACGTTTTGCCTATATGTTGCTCCAAACAAGCGTGATGCAACGAACTACAGCGCCATCTATTTTGATACATATGAACTAAAATTTTAAATGCGCAAATGGCGTATACATAATCGCCCACCAAGGACAAACTGAGATTTGTCCTTACGAATATTTAACTTAATAACATAACTCTGTTACCGCCCACCATGACGTAAGGTAACAAAACAAATAAAAACACTAAGATGTACAATAACTTAAAATAATATATTTATGCACATCTGAAATTGACTATTGTAAAAAGTTAAATGTAAAATATTTCGTCGATTAGTTATATAAATGAATAAATATATATTTATATATGTATATTATTTTCATTAATATGTTAATTTACCCTTTCATACAGTATCAATCTTTTTTAAGTTAAATAAACTCTTTTTGCGTCTGGTTAGACTATCGAACTTAAGGAGTAAACTCCAGTCGTGCGTCGGAGCTGACACACACAATTTTTTTCATTTCAAAGACTAGGTACGGAATTTTCGGTGACACTCGCGGAAATAAACATTTCTTTAGAAAGAGCTAGAAAGCGATGGTGAGTATAAGATTAAAATAAAATAGAAATATTTTCATTGCTCTCACAGTAATACCTACATAATTCAATACATAGGTGCAATGCGATATGACAGCTTGAAAAGCAATTGAATGTGGCTCAGCGTAAACTGCTCCGTTGCGTAAGGTCTCGGGCAGCGCTGGTTTTCAGACACACTCACTCCTCTTTAGATAAAAAGCGAGACATGCAAAATAGGACGAAAAAGCCTCGTAACCGCTTAGACTCCGTTCTGGACATATACCCTTAAATAAATTTGCATTCCTCATGCAGAAACGTACATCACCTAACCCCAATGAATGTGACTTAGTACAAGATGTGCACCATGTAATGATGGAGTGTGTACGTGACGAAGCCAAAAGAGCACAATTCTTAATCTATATAATATAAAACTCAAAGGTGACTGACTGACATAGCGATCTATCAACGCACAGCCCAAACCACTGGACGGATCGGGCTGTAATTTGGCATCCAGGTAGATGTTATGACGTAAGCATCCGCTAAGAAAGGATTTTGATCAATTCTCCCCCCAAGGGGATAAAATAGGGAATGAAAGTTTGTATGAAACTTTGTCAATTTTAAACCGATCGGGCTGAGATTTTGCATGCAGGTATAAGAAGAATCATAGATGAATGTCATTGTGTGTAATACAAACCTGAGAACAAAACTGTCGTCTACACTTCAGCTCTACACCGAAGCGAAGCGAGGGCGGGCCGCTAGTATTATATAACTTTAAGGGGGAGGTAGGCTTTTGTATACAGTATTTTAGCAAAACCGACATCAAAAAGGGCTATTAAAATTTATGTTAAAGGGCTGTTACCTAGTAAGATTAGCAGTGAATCGTAGATAAGAGATAATTATTATCGGGTCCTATGAGGGTGGCATGTCCATGTGGAGAAAACCCCGTCAAAAAAAAGAAAAACAGCCTCGTAACTTACTATCGTATTCCGCAGACACGCCAACTTGATGCTGAACCTGTTCTCGCTGATGGTAGACGCTTCAGTGCCTGACATAGCGCTCGAGCCCGACAAGGCCGTCAAGAAAGTGCAAGACAAGCTCAGGTAAATATACATTCAAATTCAATATATAGTTTAGGCTTTTATAACATCATCATCATCATCAGCCTATTAATGTCCCCACTGCTGGGGCACAGGCCTTCCCTATGGATGGAATAGGCAGATTGGGCCATGATCCACCACGCGGGCCCAGTGCGGATTGGCGGGTGCTAATGACTACAGATGCAGCCGGGACCAACGGCTTAACGTGCCTTCCGAAGCACAGAGGAGCGAGAGATAAAAGATTTTTGGTCACCCATCCAATGACCGACCACTGCGAAAGTTGCTTAAATTCAACGAACCATCGGCGCCATTAATCTCCTCGGTTTTTACAAGCACATGTGAGAGTGGAAATCTACGCCATCGACTCGCAAATCTACGACGGACTGCTTTTTCACCTTGTATTATTTCATACAGTGTCGTCAAATTGAAAGCTGACATCAAACTTATAAACATGTATTGAGGTCAACTTCCATCACATAATATAAAATAGGTAACAATATATATGTACAAAAGCCCCGAAAGATTCAGTAAACAATTTTCAAAATACATGAGCATGCATACTCATTGACCCGGAACGCCTATCATCATCATCAGCCTATTAATGTCCCTATTGCTGGGGCACTGGTCTTCCCCATGGATGGAATATGGATGGGCCCAGAGTGGATTGGTGGGTGCTAACGACTGCAGATGCAGCCGGGACCAACGGCTTAACGTGCCTTCCGAAGCACGGAGTAGTGAGAGATAGTAAACATTTGGTCACCCATCCAATGACCGACCACTGCGCAAGTTGTTTAACTTCAACGATCGCAGCCGAACGCGCTAACCACTTGCGCCATTGAGCTCCTCGCTTATACAATAAGGTTTACATTCGAAGGACTGAAGAAGGAAAACTAAATTAATCCATTTTCTTTTAGAAATTGATTTATGAAAAATAAATTCCCTAATACAGAAATATTATGCATTCATGTATAATCCACTGTTCAAGCCAAAATGACTCTTAAATCCGAGAGCTTCGGTGTAAAAGAATAGAAATTAGAAATGAAACCAAGGTAGAATTTGTTTGACCATTGACCATAGATTTATTTATTAGTTTAGTGACGTTTTGCCTATATGTAGCTCAAACCAAATTTACTAGCGCGATCCTAAGAACTATAGCGCCATCTATTTTCGTACATATGAACTACAATTTCCAAGTTTGTTTTAATAATCAACATTTATTTCTTATTTATTGCTCTTAATCAGGTAGGTAATTTTATATTTAAATTTATATTACTATACTTACACAAATGGCGTATACATCCACTATAAGCGCATTCGCGTTTTTCTTTTTACCCAAAGGTTGACTGGAGAGAATGCTATTAGCATTAAGTCCGCTTTTTGTACCATTCTTATGTATTATGGTCAATAAATTTTAAAATAAAATTAATATAAGGTGGACTTGCACCAACCTTGGTTAAAAAAAAATTACAATCATTAATGTTTTAATTTGGATATAGTTAGAACTTGAGTTGACAGTGTTGGTGCAGTCTATCTTCGCCGTCTCGTGAGGCTATTTCGTTAAAATTAAATTTAAAAACGGGAGAAACACACAGCCCTTATTGCGTTTCTTGCCGGTTCTTCTCAGTACAAGGTCTCCCGCTGTAGATTTACGAACCGATGTCGTAGCTTCTAGACATTCATGAGTGCTTGTAACAGCCTAAACTGAACAAATGATTTTAATTATGATTGTTTGATTGCGATTAATGTATTCATTTGAACGCTTTAAAAAATATTTTTGAATTGAATCATCATCTATCGTTCTTTGCAGGGTCGATATAAAATTTTGTTGTTAAATCTATGTAAATAGAGACATTATTACTGAGAAAATCAGTTGCCCAGCGCGGCAAAATTAGGGGCGGTAAAATTGACTTAGGGTCAGCCGTAAAGTACGTCACCAAAAGGCGGCAAAAAAATTTGCCCGTAGCGGCAAATTTTATAGATCGCGCCCTCTTATCTACTATATAAAAATAAGTCGGGTTTTCCTTCCTGACGCTATAACTCCAGAACGCACGAACCGATTTCCACGGTTTTGCATTCGTTGGAAAGGTCTCGGGCTCCGTGAGGTTTATAGCAAAGAAAATTCAGGAAAAATTAAAAAAAAAAAATTTTAATCGCCAAACGAAATGTTACATAAAACGAAGCCATCTGGTGGCGAAACGGAGTTCGCGGGGTTTGCTAGTCTAATATATAAATCTCGTGTCACGGTGTGCGTAATTGAACTACTCCGAAACGGCTCGACCGATTTTCGTGAAATTTTATATGCATATTCAGTAGGTCTGAGAATCGGCAACATCTATTTTTCATCCCCCTAAATGTTAAGGGTGTATGTACCCTTAAATTTCTTTTTGGACAAAAATTTTGTTTTTATTTTTTTATGATACATCATACAAAAATACATACAACCCTTAATTTTCACCCTTCTACCACCAACCCCTATTTTTTTACGGCGGTACGAAGTTCGCTGGGAAAGCTAGTATAAAAATAATAAATTTATGGATTCCAGGTTAGACCTAGGTGACGAAGAAGCCGTCCACTACCTGCAGAACCTTCTGGACATGTCAGTGACCGCGGTGATGGCTGCCCTAGTGGAGCACTTCCATAAGTTCGCGCAGTACTGGCGCAAATAACGACCTTACGCCCTTGCGTTACAGTTGAAAGTTGTTTGAATCAGATCCTTTGTAAACATTTCATTCTCCAGACATGCAACTCCTAACGGGGTGGTGAGCATGAGTCATAACTTATGCTACTTCATCTCTGCTAACTGCCTCGTTATGAATCTTTTGCGGGATTTCATCTAGTGCAGCTGGCGTCTTATTTTAATCATTCTTAAATTTGTTCATAGTGGATATCTACTATATAAAAATAAGTCGGGTTTTCCTTCCTGACGCTATAACTTCAGAACGCACGAACCGATTTCCACGGTTTTGCATTCGTTGGAAAGGTCTCGGGCTCCGTGAGGTTTATAGCAAAGAAAATTCAGGAAAAATTAAAAAAAAAATCGTCTTTTAATCACCAAACGAAATGTTACATAAAACGAAGCCACCTGGTGGCGAAACGGAGTTCGCCGGGTTTGCTAGTCTTATATATAAAATTCTCTTGTCACAATGTTAGTTACCGTACTCCTCCGAAACGGCTTGACCGATTTTCATGAAATTTTATATGCATATTCAGTATGTCTGAGAACCGATTCTAAGTGATAAGGGTTGTCAACCCCTAAGTTTTTTTTTATTTATTAGAAATTTTCTTTTTTTTTAATGTGGCATTATAAAATACATACAAACCTAAATTTTCACCCTTCTACCACCAACCCCTATTTTTATGGCGGTACGAAGTTCGCAGGGTCAGCTAGTTATGAAATAAAATTGGTAATTTTGTGTTACAACCGTCTGCGCAACTAAAGAATTAGTAGAATCTTTAAAATATACGCTATTCCGGTCAAGTGGACGTGAGAACTTTATTGTATACAGGGTTAATTTTAAAACACCAACAACCTCTTAGGGGGCGATTCTACCCATCAACAGGAACAACTTTTGTTATGGGACCAACGCTGATATCGCGAAAAGAAAATCAGCTGTTTCATACATTTCGGTCGATTAGCTCATGCACTTTTGTATGAAACAGCTGATTTTTTCTTCGCGATTTCAGAGTTGGTCACATAATAAAAGTTGTGCTTGTTAATGGGTAGAATCACCCCCTAAGAGGTTGTTGGTGTTTTAAAATTACACCCGTATATGTAAGGTCAAAATTTATTTGTTGCTAGACTTTAAGACAATTGAAGAACAGTTTCATTCTGGAATTGTATTCTTATTTAATTTGTATTGATTTTTATAATCTCATTTGAACAATAAAAATCTCGATGATAAAACAGTTAAGCTATACTTAACCAGGTGATAAATATTATAAAACCAAATATCATTCAAATCCGTTTAGCCGTTTATTCGTGTTTGAGTTAAAAAAACATGCAAACAATTATGTTTAAAAAAAATATAGGTCTGGGACTTTTTTCGAATTGTAAATCTACTATTGAACAATTTTATTGCAAGAAAACTGTGTATTTCCAAATTAAACAAATTTAAATAATTGGACTACATTCCTATTACTTTTTTAACAACTACTTGTAATAATAATTATGTCAAATATAAATAAGTTTATGAAATGTAAAACTTTAAACTGTGATATATAGCATGTATTTTAAAATAAGTAACCGAATTGAAATAAATTCATTTATTTTAATAAATGAGTATTTTTATTTATAAAAACAATGGCCACTTAACATAGATAACAGATTTAAGGCTAAGAGGTATGCATTGATCAGATTCCGTTTAAATATTGCAGTACATATTGTGTTACATTACGGAATGGAGACGTCATACGTAAATGTAACAATTAATTATATGTGATTCAACATGCTCTCATATACTGGTGATAAGCAGAACACGCGAAAATTCTTCCCAGTAAGTACAATAATCAACACATCAGTTACCTACCGAATTTTCTTTATGAATATTGCGATTCCTGTCCCCCTAGCATGAGCACCGAGATATGATATATAACGAGTTTTTATCACGCTCAATTGTCAAATTACTATGCAGTTTGACGGTGAGACACGATAAAAAAACGCGATATAATGTAAATTGTGGTGCCCATGCTCCGGGGGCTACTTGAATAGAAAAAGCACAAATTAAGTTGTAGCAATTTTCCAGTATTAGATAATTTCACCTGTTGTATTGTACATTACTAGAAGAACTTAGTGCTATACAGTAAAATTAACAAAAAACATGTTATATTGCTCTATTTGTATTTGAATATTTTTCGAACCAATGTCATGGGAAGAAGGTACTACAATAACACAATTCCATCAGAGAATTCACCTCAATAGTTATAGGTAGGTATTGCAAAGAAAATTGCATAACAGGCAACAAAAGCATCAACACACGTTACACAATATTTAGCATTTGAGTGTAATTGATTAAATAAGTTACATTGTATGTATCATTAGTTTCATTTTATTATATAACAAGTGTTGTAAAAAAATATAAAATTCATAAAATGGATGCTTAAATGCCTAAAACCCATCAGGTATTAGCAAATATGAGATCTCCTCCATTCATAACACAATCACTGGCAATGTAAATTTTGCTGCCTGTAGTCTTCTGAATGACATCACAAGCTGCAATTTCAGCATAATTCACACCCCCTACTACATACACCAAAATACTTTTAGGTTTAATTGGAAAAACCTTCCCGAAATTGGGATCACTCTTAACAACTTTTGCTAAGCTTTTAGCATCTTTGCAACCAAACTCTAAATCACTCTGAAGTTTCATATTTGATAACTTTTCATTCAGGGTTTCCATTCCATCCTTTAATATACCAGCTATACTACCACCTATTTTAAAATCATTCAAAGCGCTAAGTTTTAACAGCACATCTGAAAGCGTATCTGATGTTAAAATTATATTACAAATTACTGCAATAAGTGGAACATAACCACCATTAAAAACATAGCTTGGAGAAGAATTCTCACTTTTTTCAGGCTGTGATGGCAACTGTTTCAATTTATTTGCAGTGGCCTGAAACCCACTCTGCCACTTTGGCAATCTGTCACTCAAATTCCCCAAAGTAGATATATTTAAAGACAACTTCACACTGGATGGCTGAATTAATAAACCTGCATTAACTAAATTATTGAATACATACAAAAATTTATAACCAAAGGCTAATAAATATTTGCTAACTAAAGTATTATATTCTTCATAAGATAACCCTTGTGTCAAACTAAGTAAGCACATGAGACGTAAGCTGTTATAAATGTGAATATTAGTACCAAAGTATTCATCCACAAAATTAAAATTAGATTTCTTATTGCGATTGTTCAACATATCATTTTCAGTTGACATCAAGTTTTCAAATTTATTTCTCATCTCTGATATTATTGTTTCGCAAGCCAGCACATGGTTGACTAGATTCTGCTTGTAAATTGTAACTTGCTGCAACTTTGTAGCCACATAATGCTTCATCTCTTGAATGCCCAATGCTTTAATATCCTCATTTTTCAACAATTTTGCTTTGGAACTTAACACACTAAGTACTTCAGAGAAGTGTCTGTGTTTAATTTCACCATATAAGTTATCTATAGAGCTATCTAAAGTCATGACTGTATTTTTCTCCACTGCTTTTTTCTCTTCCAACCCGAAGTCCAACTTTCCTTTTTTATATTTAGTCTCTTTGACATTCAAGTCCAAATGGCCACAATTGATATCAAATATTTCACTAAGTAAACCACTATATGTGGCTGGGGTGAGAAGGCTAGCTGGATAATCTTGATTTCTATCTATTAATATCAAAGCACCTATCTCATAATTGGCATTAGAACCAAAAGAATCTCTATTGTAAGTTTCATTGTAGACTTCTAGCATGTCTAAAACACTGGCGGACAACTTTCCCACAGAAAACATAGCATTTGGTTTACCGGTAACATGAAACAAACTCCACAGTGACATAGCCACACTCGACAACAGTGATTGGTTTTGTTCTACAAACAGTTGTTTATACAGAAATGGTAGTTCAAGACTAAGTAACTGCTCATCCAACGCCATCAACTCCCAAGCAAAAGAATGTAATTTTACAATGTCATATAATCCTCTACTCTCCAAAATGCTCTCATAAGAATTGAGAACTTTAGGGGTAATTATTATATGAAAACATTTCAGATCAGCTAAGGAAGAATTTAAGCTCAACATGGAAGATATCTGGTCCAGGATACACCTATACTTTTGTATGCATGCTGGTATAAAGTAGACTCTGTTTACATTTGCTGTTGTACTCAATTGTGGATCCATTTTATAAATTTTATCAATTCCATGTTGTCTGTAAGGAAACAAATAAATCTTACATAAAATTATAATAATTGTGAGAATGTAAACCAAACATTATATGATACAACAACAAGTAATATATGAATTTTACAACAGCAAAAAAGTAATGGGTATACAGTTTATATATGTGTAATCTTTTTGTTAAAGTTAGCTTTTTAGTTTTCTTTAACTATGTCATACCTTAACCAAGACACACCACAAATTCTCTCAAGAGGCTTTATTAATGAGGTATCTATTATCAAATCTTTTTTATCTCCACACAACGCCAGAATACTCTGAAGTTTGCATTGTGAAATAACACTGAGAGACGCTAGTTTCATTAAAAGAGGATGATCCATATTGAGAAATGGTTCACTTCAGGAATAGTAGCAAGGTTTCAATTTTTATTTTACAGTCTTTTGAGTGTTAATTTGCCTTTGGTAGCCACCTCTCCCAAGAGCTTGAAACAATTAAATAAGTTATAAAAGATAACATAATTTTGTTATTGTACAACTCAATAACAAATCGTGAACAAATCTGTACTGCAAAACAAACAATACGGCACCAACGACGTATAAAAAAAGGCGGACAGAGTTTCGGCTAAGACAATACTGAGGCACCGTAATGGCGGCGGCTATTGATGTGTGAGTGAATTGTTGGGTTGCTAGGTTAGCCAATTTTTTACCAATAAAACACAGTAAAAACATGAAAATATTTTGATTGTTCAAAATTTTACTTTTTGCCCGACTGCGGAGGATAATGTTTTTCGAGCGTATGTATGCATGTATGTATGTATGTCCAATAATTTGGCACGCCCTACAGCCTGAACGTCTTGACGGATTTTGACATGCGAGGTGTCATTTGATTTGTCGTGATTGTGTGAGTGGCACTCGGTATATAAAATTTTCAAAAAATCAAAATAACAGATTTTATGCGCCAATATGAAACATTTTGAAAAAAAAGTATAAGTATTTTTATAACCCGTCAAGCGAGGTATCAAAGTGAAGGGTTTTAAAATAATATTTAGAAAATATACAACTCGTGTAATTAAAAATAAAGAAATTAAAATGTCGAAAATAAAAAAAAATGTACTAAAAAGAAAAAAACAAGTCCAGTAGTCTAGAATTCTGTTTTATAAGGAACAAAGTTATTTTAACAGTCGGGACTCATTAGAAATTCTAGAATGTATCGAATTTTCTCAATATTGGGTAAATCAACTAAATATAGATGGCATGGCCTACATTCTCTTTCATATTTCTTAAAATAAACTAACACCCATTGAGTACTGTTTGTAATTGAGGAGACCCATTGTTTTCCTCCGAAAGTACTCTTCAGATCTCCAGTAAATTAATATGCAGCCATCACGCTAGTAAACTGATTAAAACAAAAAAAGAATCATCATAAACGGTCCACGAATCTCGGAGATCTGCGCGAACAACAATAAAAAAAAACAAATATGACGCATTGCGAACCTTTTTCTTTTCGAAATCGGTTAAAAAATTTAATCAACCTTTTGAGGTAATGCATACGTAATAACACGCCGGAGTCCTCCTTTAGTTGTATATAAGTCTTGAGCTTCAAAATGAAGACTAAAAATGACACTACTACTTAATTGTTTGGAAATCATTCATTTTCCAGTAATTTCTCCATACTACATTTTCTTTAGGAAATCTGATAAAAAAGAATAATAAATAATAGATTGAAGTTAATGTCAACCCAATTTCCCATATTTTAGGTAATATGGTTACATGAACATTGGCAACACTGGGCTTTAGACTAATCATTTTGTCCTTAGAATGAAAATTGATTTCGATTTCTAAAAACTGAAAAAAAGTGATTAAATAATTCATTTGCCTATGAAACGTGATTCCTGGATTTTTTTTCTTTCGGTCACTACGGTTTTTACACCATTTTACCACGCAAGACATCTTGTTTAACTTATTTTTATCTCCACGTAACGTGTCGGCTGCTTTGACGTTTGCACGCATAATGGCTGACTATGGTGTGAATGTGTGTGTGCCGGCTTGTACGTATAGCGACCTGGCCGACTCTGAGCGACACAGTTTGTTGTTTACCGGGACTCTGTCCGCCTTTTTTTATACGTCCATGTACGGCACAACAACACGGAGATTGTCAATTTTTTATATCTTTTTTCCCATCTTGGGAAAGGCAAAGGCAGAGCCATGCAGCCATAGTCTTCATAGGAGATTAATTTATTAACCATGAAAAAACTCTTGACATATGGATAGGCAAAAGCCAAGTCATACAGCTTAATCATAATTAAAGATACGGATGACTATGATGGACCCAGATGAAGTGCCGGCATAAGCTAGTACTTCATTTAGCTTTTCGTATTTGCTATTTGACTGTTTTGACAGCAGTTTGTCCTTATCATACACCTCAGAGAGTGAAATAGAGAAACTATTATCAAGTATACAAATAGCAAAGACAAAAACAAATAGCCATGTGAAGTGCTGGCACTATAAGTAAATTAAAATAAATATTACTTTTACTTATTTTCTTGTTACTCATACCAATAATCATTATTAAATAGAGTAAGTATCTAATTATTAAAATTCATTTGAAAATATTATGCGCACAGATAAAATTAAAATCCTTGAAATTAAATAATTTCCGGTCATGCGTCGTAGTATATCCGCAACATCCTCCTCGCCCCTGCCCCGCCGCCATTCCGCCCGCCCCTCACCGCGGGATTATCTTTCGTCGTCGTGTTGCAAAAATTTTAAGAAATGGCAGCAAGATTTATCAGGAAAATCGTAAGTTTATAAATCAGCGTTACGTACTACGACAGTTGTGGCACACTGCATGCAATTTTAGAATTTTTCTCTTCATGATCTAGGCTTACTTTTATCATAATCCAAAAATAGACGTACTATAGTTATGTCGAGGAATTACATAAAAGAGCTTTTGAAGCCTTTTCGTGAAAGTAAAGTAGTAGATGGTTTAATGAGATGGTTCGAGCCTGTCGGGAGTGGCGATACTGTAGGAGTTAGGGCCAGGACAAATGAGGTTAACACAATTTTTTATAAAGTTTTTTAGTGTTCTAGTTTGAGGTTATATGTGGGTGATTTTTTGTTATTTGGTAAGGCCCCGACGACTCGGAGTGGCGTCGCTCAGTACAGCACTGGAGTACGGAGGGTGACACTGATTCCCGGCCATGGCATTGGCCCTGAGATCACAGTCGCGGTGCAAAAAATATTTGAAGCTGCCAAAGTACCAATCGAATGGGATGAGGTGGACGTCACAGCTGTTAGGGTAAGTCCCTCGTTGTTTTATGGCTTCAAAGCTTATGTTGATATAATGATACCTAATCATAAATGGTGCAATGCTATGCTATGCAAATTTTATATAATATGTTATTATTTATTTCCTTTCTGTAATTTAGACACAGTTAATTATTCACAGAAAAGTTTGCTTTTGATTTTTAAATAACGATTTAAATTCATACTCTTTTCAGAATATTCCAAAGCTATTGTAGTTTTAGTTTACCAAAGTGATATATAAATAATTGATTATGGCTTCTATATTTTTTACATTTTAGGGGCCAGATGGCAAGTTTGGAATCCCTCAGAAGGCTATTGACTCAGTGAATGCCAATAAAATTGGCTTGAAAGGTCCACTCATGACACCAGTCGGAAAGGGATACCGATCCCTCAACCTTGCCTTGCGAAAAGAATTTGATTTATATGCTAATGTGAGGCCTTGCAAGAGCTTAGAAGGGTATGTATTTGTTTTGAAATAAGTATTCAAATAATGCTTTTTGTGCAACTTTTCCAAATATGTCCTAAAATTAAACATTAACTAATAACCTCATCTTTAGCCCAGTCCCCTTTACAATTAGACCCCTGATGGAATGGCCCAGGAATGAAGGGAAATGAAAAAGTTGCACAATTAGGGGCTAAACTGTACTTCCAGGGCACAAGTGGTGATACTTCACTCTAGGTTAGGTTAGTGTTGTGACCTTAACCCACGAGCCGAGCGAGTGTAGCAAGCGTGCTGCGGAAGCAGCTGGCGAAGCGCCAGAAAATAAAAAAAATTAAGAGACCTTTTCTACAAAAAAGTTTTAGTGTCACCTATGGGGGCCCTGGAAGTACAGTTTTACCCAATTCGACCCCTGATGTTGATAACCAATATACTATTCATTAAGATCTACCAGAAATCAGATCCAGTGGATCAAAACATTCTTCATTTGGATTTGGTGCTGTATAATATGTTTGCATGATCTTACTATTATTATGATGTGACAGAGGTTTTTATGTCAGTTACCCCATCACAGAAACTGCTGAACAGATTTGTATGAATTTTGAACACAGACAGTTTATAACCTGGGAAGAGAAACAGGATACTTTTTCTCCTGGATAATGTTGGGTACCTTAGGGAATCTCAAAAAAATAATCGAAATAAATGTAAACGACACAGGTATTAAATAAAATACAAAAGTCTGGAGTTACTTGTACTCTTTTTTTTTTTTGTTATAATAGAGATTTAGACATTTGAAAGTAATCCCTACACAAACATACCTACTTTGTTTACCAATATCCTATTACATAGATATTTCATGAATTTGATATCTTATTTATAACAAGTGTGGCTGACAACTTATTGGTTGTTTTAAGTCCTATCCAATACCAGTAGCTTACCAATTTGCATTTGTGTTTTGGTAGCTGTAAAACTTCAAATAATAAACTGTGAACAGTAAGTCGCAATCTAAGAAAATCCTCCTCCTGGTTTCCACATTTCTGAGGATTATGGTCATTGGAAGGGAACAGTTTTTCTTTGGTGATGCGACACCAGCTGTTTCTGTCTGTAATCGAATGTTATCCATAGTGCATGGAAGTGTTGAGAGTGATGCAGATTAAGGTGGTACAATGTGGTAGATCATTCTTCTTTGTAGCTTTTCCTTAATTTTCCCAGAGTCCATCAATTTCTAATGAAATCATTTAAGCAAAAGTTAATAAAAAATTAAGCATATAAAAATGGATAAGAAAGACTAGGAGCAAAAATCTAATGCATTGCCTGTACACTGATTGATTGTCAACCAGCTCTATATCCAATTTAATCAACTAAAAGAACAAACTAAAAAAATCTTTTTATTTTGATCATTAAACTTTTAAGATTTTATGTCTAAAGAAGATTTTATTATAAAAATTTGAATTGACACAGCAGCAGTCAATTAAATATACAGGACCATGTTTGATTTATGGAAATTCCCTTGAAAATTGACTTTTAACATTTAAGTAAATATTATATTAAGAAGAAATTATGGTACTTAGTTTATTGGTTGCGCATTAGTCAATTCCATTCAATTATGGCTGCGTCTCTACGTGATGATTCTGCCAATATCTAGGTAATGCGTTAGTCATTAAGCTCATTCACATGGCTAATTGTATTTGTTATTTTGACAAGTTTACAAATATGAATAGACAAACGAAGAGCTGGCATTAGATATTTAAAAAATGCAATTGATCTCTGGCATTCGAGCCTATGTATTTCTTAAGTAGTCTTTATAGTAATTTAAAAAAATATATAATCAACATTGTAAAATCATTACAAAATATATTATTACTGGTACTTGCAATATTCAACACCGTTTTCTCTATATCATTACTTTCTTTATATCTGTACAGAAAAATAGGTGGAAAAAAACTCAATCATCAGTTTGTAACATAAAATTATCAGTGTTATCAAACCAAAATTGATTTGATAGCAATGATAATAATTAGTTTTATGTACGTGATTTCATTCAACAAAATGCCACGCCTGCCATACATCAATTTCAATATCTTATCTATTCTGAAAATTGTATCCCTGAAAGCAAATGAACTACAAAACTTACGTATTATGAGCATATGAGAGTGAAGGTTAGGCCAGTGGTCAAGTTACTTCATTGGACCAACTAAGAGCAGTTTCACCCCTACCGTCTGGACGCTTGTTGCTCAAACAGCATGTGTTAAGGTGCTATCCGATGACAACATAGATCGTGGGATAGCACCTTTACGCGCATTCCTATTTCTTGCGTATCAGCATGATCTGGAACGAACTTCCCGGTTTCCCTCTTAGCTATAATATGGCTGTCTTCAAAAGGCGGGTAAACCTTTTCCTTCGGAGCCACACATGAGTGGTACCTTTGGTGTCTTAGTTCGTTTGCCTGCATAAACAAAAGAAGGATAAGCAGAAGCATTAGCCCTACTTCTAGGGCTAATGACGTATAATAATAGACAGGTTATACGCCAACATTATTGCATTTTAAAATAATAAAAGTAGTTCCCGACTAGGGTAACTGTTTAAAAATTTTAAAACTTCTGACAAAAAGCCGGACATCGACAAAAGTCCGGACATTTTAGTCAAAAAATGCAATCATCACCCACTTCGTTACAGTGATATTATACGCGCGGTATCAGACGCTCGCATCGCGAGGGGGGTCTCGTTAGCTTAATAAAGATTATTTGGTATAACTTAATAAGTAGCTTTAATCATATATCATCATATTGCATCTAATTGAAAAAGGCGGACAAAGCCCGGGCGAAAGGCAAAAAGGCCGGACATGTCCGAACAAATCCGGACGGATGGTAACCCTATTCCCGACCCAACTTCCCTGGGCAGCTAATAGAACAGTGTTTCCTAACCTTTCCAATACTGCTACCCCTGTAACCTACAAGGAAAACAGATTTTACCCCGACTTTAAAATGTTATCATCACTCCAAGAAATTCCAATTTGGCCGCTACATCTTCGTCTCTTATAATGTCATAATCAGGAGTAAATCTCGCCCCGCTTCCCACACTCAGCACCCCGCGGGCTCGCTAGCAAGAAGGAGCGCATGCTCTATTTAGTAGTATTATTAAATAGTATTTTCTTATTTAGATTTGACCAAATAATTCGGTTCCTTGTTACCCCCGAAGCATGGCTGATTTACCCACAGGTCAGGGGTAATTACCCCCGGACCCAGGTAATAGAGTGAACTAAAGTGGCATTCATAAAGCAGATTACATCTCAAAATAAGTAATCATTAAATATTTCTACATAAACTTCAAAACTGTACTTAACTCTAATAGTTCTCGTGTATTTAGTGTACTATCAAAAAACACACATAGGGCTTTTTCTTTGGAAAAACATAAAATATTTTCACGTTGTAGCAAAATGTAGCCGCGACGAGAGAGAGTGACCTGCCCGACTGAATGCAAGTCGGGCAACTACCTGACTTTCGTAAAGCCAAATTGGAAGCGTCCATACACACTACGAGAAATCGTTACGATCAGACTGTACAGTCCGAACGGTACCGATAAATCGTAGCGTGTATGTTATGCTCGTGTATGACATATATGCCACGTCCGATAAACTGTTCCGTTCGAACTGTACAGTCTGATCGTAACGATTTCTCGTAGTGTGTATGGCTAGCATGACGTATCTACAACTTTAAAACATCATAGGGTAGGAAAGTTTTCAGAGTTTTTCGGGATAGAGGAATAGTTTAGGTATTAAAATATAAAAATTAGTGATATTAATAGTCTTTTTTGTATAAAGCGCCATTTATTTAATATTACATTATTATTGACGCTTAATGAGATTAATTTCATTGTATCATTATCTTTAATATTACCGTCGTTTTAAAGCCAAATAACCCTGTTAAGTCGTTTGAATATACTTAATAAATTATCATTAATAAAACGTTGCGTTTAATTTTTAATAGGAAGATTATTTATTTATACTTAACGCACAAGTGTACAAAGGCGGACTTAATGCCATAGGCATTCTCTACCAGTCAACCATAGGGTGTGGTGGATAAATAGTGGTAGGGTGCACAAATTAGATGGAAAAAAGACGAATAGATTTCATAATACGAAGTAGTCATATACATAATTACACATACATAAATAAGTACTTACATATAAATAAACATACATATAAATTCACACATATATACATATATAAATAAATACATAATAATGACGATTAACGTTTAGGCTATACTATACTGCTTGTTCCTGTACTTTCTCAGTAAAGTGGTTCGATTATCTCTCAGTTATCAGTGTCTACGTATTGAAGCCCGGCCTTCACGCACTCAATTATTGTCGCAAGACCTTGTTGCGTTGCTAATACTATATGTACTCGTGTAGTTTATAGGGAGCACTCAAGTGCTTGCTTAGAACATGCAATCAATGCTCTAAGGAAAACTGCTATCAATTTAATTTCTGTATACAATTTATATCTCATACCGGACATAGAAGAAAAATATATTATTATTATTATTTACACATATTTACATTTAAACAACAAATACTTAAAAACTACATGATTACTAAAATTCACATTCCAAATAACCTTAACCTACTTAATTATTTAAATAATAAATAAATTACAAAATAAAAAATATGTCACCCCCAGCGCCGCCGTCAGGAATGGTGCCCAATAGGCTAGCAGCATTGCCACGTTGGATGGCAATGCTGATCCGTTGACCTAGATAACTGCCAGCCTTTTGATCACCAGTCGCCTCAGTGAGCCTCTATGACAGTTCCTTAAAAAAGGAGCGAGCGCTTGGACCCCATGGGCCCATAGTCTCAACACCAAACGGCACAAATATGCAGTTCTCATTGAGAGCTGAATATTTGCGCCGCTTGGAGCACTCGGCAGAGGCCGCCGCCGCTCTTGCAGCTAACTACCTGTATGGCAAGGAGCTTCCGTATCCACGCAAGTTGCGTCCCATACAAGAGGACGACCCTGC